TAGTGTTTCTCAACCTTGAAAAGAATTCTGGGAGTTGAAGTTTGCCCATCTGAAAGCCAGCAAGGTTGAGAAACCCTGATCTAGTATCAGATCTGCCTTGGAAATGGACTTTGATTGCTATCCTTCCTCATGTGGGCTTGGATGTCTGAAAATAGCCCAGTCTTGTTTCATGTAACACATATATAACCTAAAACACTGCTGGAGTTTCCTGAATGGTATGTAAAACCATATACTGTATAAAACCAAGTTCTTTACCTCCTAAAATGTGGAGGTAATTATACTGACTAATTCAATTTTGGTTTAACTTTTGGGTCAGATTTACTGCAGGTAGTCCTCGACTTGCGACCACAATTGGAACTGGAATTTCCATCGCTAAGCGATGCAGTCGTTAAGTGAATACCACCGGTTGTTAGTTGAGAACCCACCCCAATCCAAGCCATTCCAGGCTTGATCCCTCCCAGCCTTGAACCTCAGAAAGGTAAGGGATTGCCTCCAACTCCCCCCCCACCTATCCCCCCCATCTCTGCCCTACTGGCCACCCTGCCTTGTAGGGCAGCAAGGGTCTCCAGAACCGCACAGCTCTGGGGCTGCTTGCCACTCTGTGACTCAGGGGCTTCTTGGCCCTCCTTCCCACTTTGCTCGCATGCACCGCGCCCTCCTTCACTCACTCACACCAGCATCCTCCTTCCCCCTTTGCTCACTCGCATGCACCACACCCTCCTTCTCTTGCATACACCAGCACCCTCTTTCCTCCTTTGCTCACACGCCTTCCCTCACACACACCAGCACCCTCCTTCCCCCTTTGCTCGCTCATACGCATCATGCCCTCTTTCCCTCCTTCGTGCTCTCTGAATTCTGAATTGTACCAGCAAATTCTGGAGGAAGATGTCAGAGTGTTTGTCTGTGAACTGAAACTCAAGAGCAGATAGGCCATGCAGCAAGATAACAACCCAAAACCACAAGTCATACAACCAAAAAGTGGTTAAAGCAGAAGAAAATTAATATTTTGGAATGGCCAAGTCCACGTTCTGACCTTAATCCTTTAGAAAGGACCTTAAGCGGGCAGTTCATGTGAGGAAGCCCACCAACATCCCTGAGTTGAACCTGTTCTGTAAGAAGGAATGGGCTAAAGTTCTACCAAGCTGATGTGCAGGACTGATCAACAGTTATTGGAAATGTTTAGCTGCAGTTATTGCTGCTCAAGGGGGGCACACCAGTTACTGAAAGCAAAGGTTCCCATACTTTTGCCACACACCAATATGTAGTTTTGGATAATTTTCCTCAATAAATAAATGAACAAGTATAATGTTTTTGATTCATTTGTTTAATTGGTTTCTCTTTACCTAGTTTTAAGAGTTGTGTGGAGGACAGATCAGATTTTAGGTCAGATTTATGCACAAATATTAAAAATTCAAAAGGTTTCAGAAACTTTAAGCACCACTGCAGATGCCTTCGAATTATGGATCAGGGAACAGTAAGAATGCCAAGGATAGGAAGAAGAATTAGTCAATTTATCCTGGGCCAAATAAAGGTTGACAGTTCCTTTGTGAGAGCTAGTTCACACAGTGATAAGAATACTAGCAGCCATTTTAGGAGCAATCTCCGGATGCAGGCTATCCCTCCTTCTCAAATTAAAAAAACAGAAAAACCAAGCTGTTTCTCCCTTACATCCAAAGAACTTGACAGCAAGATATTCACCAGAATTCTTGTGTTGTTGCCTTAACCCTTTCCCTACTAAATCAGGAAATAACAGTTAAATTTAATGAAAACTCTGAGATATTTGTTCTTGGGATTAACTGCTTCCAGTCCAGGCTGCTATCAGAACCCTGTTATGTATTTGAAGAGCTGTTAAAGCTGAATTTTCAGGAGAGCTTTGGGGAATGAATGAAGACTACCTCCCACGTGTGGCACTTTGGATTGCTTTTAATTGCCCTCTTTTTTCCTCCCTGTATAGCTTCTTGTTAACCTCTCAGAATTGTTATGATTGGAGCAGCATACAATTTGTCATTAATAAATACAGTTTTACAAACTCTTTGAAACGATGATCGACAAGCACTAACTTACATACTTGAGAGATGTGATGTGAGTCAGTGACAGACTGGAAAAAATGTACTGGGCAAGGCTGAAGAAAGTAGAAAGTGATGACATGGTGGAGGGATGATATCAAGGAGTTTCAGGACTGTTCTTGGAAGATTTGTGAGATTATTAGAGACAGGTTGAGAGGATGGTGTCTATGCAGTGGTTTCAAGCCTGGTGGGACCCAACTAGCTAACTAATCCCCTGGCTTCTACTTTGATAGTACTTTGCCCGGGTCGGATAGGGCTCTTTCACATCCAACCCAAAGCTTCTGGTTAAAGGAAACCATTATGGTTTGCAAGCCCAGGGTTGCATTTGAGCTTTGGATGGAGTGCTGGGAACCATAAACCTAAATAATAGGTAGGGTCAGAATAAAGACATGAGTGAGTCCTGGACAACCACTGAAACTGACTTTAAATTGAACCATAGCTAGTGATTGTATACCATATATTTAATAATTTTCTCCTAGAGTCACATTAAAAATTATAATCCATTGGTAATAGTTGGTAAAGTGTGGTACGTGGTCCTTGGATTCTCCAAAAGTTTATGTCTGCATATAAAATGAGAGAGAGAGAGAGAACATGCCAGTATGGTATTGTGATGGAATGGTATGGCGAAGGCCGTGCTCGGGGAGATAAGCATTTCCTTAGCTCCCAACAGGAGCATGGAAAGGTTAAGAAGATGAGACTGGCAGCACCCTAAGGAATTCACGGTGTTTTGGCTTGCTGGCTTGGGAAGTTTAGATTCAGTCTGGAGAGATTTCTGTTTTTGAGGTGGAAGCTAATAAACGCAATGGAACTGTATCTGTACTGTCTCGTGGAGTTCTTTGGGCTGAATCTGATAGGTATGGCAGTTAAGATATCAGACTAGGAGCAGGGACGCCCAGATTCTAATCCTCCTTTAGACACGGAGGCCAGCTGGGTATTGGAATCAGCCATTCAGCCCTAGATTGGGAAATCAAAGAACACCAGTTTACTCCCACACGCTGGACTAATGTGGTAGATTATGGTCCATAACTCTCAGTGCAGTTGCCTTCATCTTGCACTTGATTGAACTTTTAATAGATATGGATACAAATACATAAATACGTAGATGTATTGATCCATGTGTGTCAATACATACAATACAATACAGTGCATACAGCCAGCTTTGTAGCATCCTCAGAGATCAAGCCAACTGCATGAAAGGTCATTATTTAGGGCAAAGTATTGAAAACACCATTCAGGCAGCTTTCAAATACTGTGAGGTTTAAGAAAAGCCGTGTATCTGCGAACTAAAATTAGGAGATTAGCTGTTGATCCTGAGAAGACCAGTACGTTATTTGGAACTGCAGACTTCATCCTTCAGCATTAATCTGTCTTTCCGTCTTGCCTGTGGTATGGAAAAGCTGCTTTATCTCGTGGGTGGAATTCGAGCAGGAAGCTTGCACTGGGGAGAAGGATATTATGTGTGCTGGCATTTTCGAATGTCTTCATGAGAAACCAGAAGGCAGATGCTGTTTCCTGAAGTGTGAATTTAGCTAGCAGTACCTGTGCAAATGCCGAAGTGACATGATGCTTTTCCTTGTGTGCTGGGAAGACGTTCCACTGTGTGTATAACACTGTGGTTATTTGTGGTGTTCTGCCTCAATGGTTGTTTTGTTTTTGTTTCTGTCTCAGTGGCTTTTGTGGTTATTTGAAATTTCATAAAGACCTGAAAGAACAAACCACAGCAGAAAAGAAGTAACATATATAATATGAAATGATATGTCCACGTGTCCTTTTCAGCCTTCTCAGAAAATTGCACAATTCTCTTACTGGATTGTCAGCTTCTCGGTATAGTGTTTAAGGCGTTGGACTAGAATTAAGGAAACGCAGGTTCAGGTGTACCCTGGGCCATGGAGCTCACTGAGAGCTCACTGGCCAGTCACTGGCTCTAAGTCTCACTGGGCTGTTGTGGAGACGAATTGGAGGACAAATGCTCTGTATGGCACTTTGTGCTACTAGAGGAAAGGCAGCAGAGTATAAATCTGACAGAAAAGAAGCCTCTGTAGAAATGGACCCTCTTAAACTGGGTCAGACATGTGCTACGTTCACCTGTCACTATCATCGGTGGCAATAGCTAAACTAGCCAGAACTTGAAACATGCCAGGTCTGTTCAGAGAAATCTGTTGTCCGAGGCAAATGTGAAAATCCTTTAAAAAAAAATAAATTGGTTTACAATTTTTGGTTTGTTTGGGGGGATATGAAGCCAAGAAAAATAACAAAATATAGTAAAATTTCAGATTATGAGTGATTTAGTGGGTTCCACAGCAGAAATAGCCAAGCAGAGTAGAAGGGGGAAGTTTAGTCATTGTTCTTTGTGTACAACAAGTACAAAATTCATGGGAGTTTTGGTTTATTGAGTATGAGTGTAACTACTTCATGGAAGCAATAGTTCTAAGTAAATTATTTACAAGATATGATAGGAAGACATCCGTTCATGTAAAGACAAAGGAAATGTCTTTTAATCAAGACTATTATTTTTTGTATGCAGATTTTAATCAATTCAGCCTCATAATTGACTACATTTCTTTCCCAAGCTTCCACTTTGGCTCGCAGACATTCCCAGACTACATCTACTATTGATTTCTCACAAATCTAAATATTGACTGTGACCAAATTTTAAATATTTGCTGTTCTTTTCTCATTATACTCCATTCTCTCTGCCTTTTCCACCCTTGTCTGAGATCCCATGTGACTTACCTTTGGTGTGTGCACAGATTAGAATCTCAGGAGCTTTTGTTGATATTTCCTTAATAAGTTCAGTATGTGAAGCTAATTTCAGCACAGCACTGGAGCTTGTACCTTATACTTTAGTTTTGCATTAGGTAGAAGATAAATCCATAATTTGCTCCATGATCCTTAGAAATTGCAGTGTTCAATCTTGTCTTTTCCTCCCATCAGAGATTAGCTGTAATCTTCTGCCACGTTCACGTCGCCTGCTCCTCTTGCTCAACCCTTTTGGAGGCAAGGGTAACGCATTGCAGTGGTGTCAGAATCATATCCTTCCCATGATTACAGAGGCCGATGTCAGCTTCAACTTGATCCAAACAGGTAAGGCTCCAATGGAAAAAAAGTGACTAGATAAATTTATATCTTGACAGCCTTCTCCATGCTCTCTAGATACGTTAGGGTTACAGCTCCCAGAATCCCATTGGCCCTGCTAGTTGGAATTCTGGGAGTCACAGTCCATATGCATCAGAAGACCAACAGTTTGGGGAAAGTTGGCCTAGAAAACAAACCCTTACCTATAAAATTCCTTTTAAGGAGTTAATGTTTTGGAGCCATAGTGGGTGGGACAAGAATGCAAAACTGATTTGGGATGCACACAATGACTCTGATTTTCCAGGATGATGATAATGATGATGACGACGATGATGATGATATTCTTTGCTCTTTTTTAACTAGGGTAATCGTACCTTGAGCTAGTTGGGGTAGTGGTGAAGGCATCAGTCTAGAAACCAGGAGACCGTGAGTTCTAGTCCCATCTTAGGCGCAAAGCCAGCTGGGTGACCTTGGGCCAGTCACTTTCTCTCAGCCCTAGGAAACTGGCAATGGCAAATTACTTCTGAAAAACCTTGCCAAGAAAACTGCAGGGACTAGTCCAGGCAGTCACCAGGAGTCGAGGCTGACTTGAAGGCACCAAAAAAACCCCCAAAACCTCAAAACCCTACTTTAGGGCTTAAATTATGTGTTTTGTTTCTTTTACATATCAAAATAGTAAAAAATAATATTTTTTGGCAGTTGTAGTCACAGAGACCTCCAGGAGCTGAAGGAAGGAGTTGAGAGGCCATAAATTCTTGGAGCCATCGATTTGCCTCCTCTTACCCTGTGTCACATGTGGAATAGATTGATAGATCTCTGATTGATTTGTCTGGGTGATGTTAAGTCATGTGGTAGGGATTTCTCACCTCCAGTTTTTTAAACTATCAGCAAAAGAGCTCCCAGCTTGATCTTCAAATTACACTAGTGAAATGAGAAAGCTAGAAGTAAGGAGAACTCAGAGTGGATTGTTGAGAATAAAATATGAGCTCAGTTAACTTTTAACATCCCATGTTGACCATGAGGGGTGGAAAACCCAGCATATGTTGAAATAAAATCTATTATTCTGTTTTGGGGGTTAAGGTTAGTGCATTTACTTTACTCGTAAACTGAACCAAGATGCTTCAAAATCCATCAGAACAGAAGGGTAGATGCATGTCTAGTATTCAAACCATGTTTTCACCAGGTTAATCTTGGAAAGATAGTGGAATTAATTTCCGAACAAAACTTAGATCTTGTTGTGTGTAGAGGTGGCTGCAACCAAGAATTCTCCAAAGAAATAAAGCCATTAAGTTTTGGTGCCCCATTTTTGAAAATATGAAATCCAGCTGCTAAACTCAACGCTGTTTCCATCCATTGTCAGATATACTGATCTATGGGGAGTGAAAACAAGAAAAGTCTGCTAGGTAGCCTGTATATTTAAAAAAGATATAGAGAAAACTAAGAGCCAAAATCCATCGGATTCAGTTAAATTCTGGTAAACAGAACATAATTTTTTCTAATCTCTTTTTTTTTTCACAGTATGCCCTGCTTCAGTGGATCTCAGGTTCTTGCAGAAAAAAATGAGACTATCAGTTTACCTCCTTTCTTAGATAACTTTAAGAGGGGATTTAGACAAATCTGTGGGGCATAATTCCATAAACATCTATGAATTATGTTAACTAAATGAAACCTCAAAATTCAGGTTTACATATTAGAATTTGCTATATCTGCCTTTGCTTCAGGGTTTTCCAGAAGCCAGGATTGGCTACATATTGATGGATGGAATGGGCAGATCTCCAGAATGATCCAGATATACTAGGTTTTACCAACTGAACATGAAGATCTTGCAACATTTGAGAACAGGAGTGTCTGTAAGAGCACCTGTACAAGAGTGGAAAAGCTGTGAAGTTTGTGGGCCAAATATTTCTCCAGCCACATCCTCCCTAGGAAACTTTAGCCAAACACAACCTTCCCTTCACCTCTGTCCCGCTCTGCACCACTCAGAATAATGATGCTTCCTGCTGCTGAAATTTGCATATGAAGGAATAAACACAACAGTACCTCAAACACCCAAAGCTCTGCGTAACCGCCAAAATATGATTAGAATTAATTGTTCACAGAAATGTGGAAATTATACCTATTTATTTTATAGCCTCTGAATTTCATTCACAGCAACAACAATACTCTCTGTCCAATAGCTTCATCCTGCCATGGATTCATTCAGTAATTAATACAAGAGTGTCTTCATTCCATATGCTTATAAATAAACATTTTGGTTGCAGAAGACAAGTCACGATTGTCTCTAGGCGACCAGACATTGAAGCAGTTTGTCAGGTCAGAGAATAGCCTTGAAGCTCAGCTAGTTACCATTATGCGTATGTTTGTCTTCCCCAGAGAGACAGAACCACGCCCGGGAGCTGGTGCAGAGCATTTCCTTAGATGAATGGGATGGTATTGTGGTCATTTCAGGAGATGGACTTCTTCATGAGGTATTGTTATTAAAAAAAAGCCAGCCCACAGATTTCTCACCCGCTCAGACCCACTTCCACTTACCTGTAGAGTTAGTTGCCTTTGTTGCTTCCTTAAAACTGGAAAAAAATTAACTACTCAAGTCTATTTTGGTGGGATATGGAGAAAAGAAGGCCGCCTTGGTTCCCTGAAGGGGTTGTCTTTCCTTCCCTCTTCCGTCTTCATCTCAGACGAACGTTTCGTGGCCCAAGATGGCTATCAAAAGATAAAAAGTGGAAGTGGAAGAAAGAGGCTAATTGAGAAGAATGAAATTTCCTGGATTTTGTTTTGTATGTTCCTCCCTATGTCTTTTTGCTAAAATCTGGCTTTGTTTTTAATCAGTGTAGTATGTGTGCAGACAAATCAGCCACAGATCATATGTAGATAGTGAGATGGGCCTTTGCTACACTAGCTCAGCCTTTCTTCAGCTGGTGCTCTCCAGATATGTTGGACTACAGTTCCCATATGAGGGAAGGGCACCAGATCTGGGAAGGATGCACTGAATTTTTCCAGATACACAGCAGAGGGCAAAGCTGCTTTTTGGAATCTTGTCGGCTGATCAGGTTTTTTTACAAGAAAGTCCAGGATTCCTTGGAAGAACATTTAAAACAGCGGTGCTAGAGTTCCTACTTGCTCATACGGGCTCCTGTCGCTTTTTGATGAAGAGCTGCAAATTATAAGCATTCACCCTTCTCCACTTTCCTTCCAGGTTATTAACGGTTTGATGGAACGTCCTGACTGGGAGGAAGCAGTTAAAATCCCTCTTGGGATTCTTCCCTGCGGGTCTGGGAATGCAGTGGCAGCCGCTATTAATTGTAGTGCTGGGTAAGTGGGAAACCCCCACTAAAATCCTGGGAAGGGGCATTTGTGGCCCATCATGATCCTGGCCTTGCAACGTAGCCCCAAGGCCCAAGCCAGAAGTTGGCAGCATTGAATCCTGTGTTCTCCAAGACTCAGTTCTTGGATATGTGAAGCTGTACCATGCACGAGTATCAGGGAGCATGCCCAGGGGGTCTTCTTTCTTCCCCAGCCAACACTGACTAGGATTCACTTGTGCAGCTGTGCTAGAGTTCCCACTTGCTTGTATGGGCTCCTGTCGCTTTTGGATGAAGAACTGCAGATTATAAGATAGTGCATTCACCCTTCTCCGCTTTCCTTCCAGCAAGCTTCACTTGTGAATCCTAGGCACAGAGGAGACTAGGATTCACATCCTAGTCTCCTCTGTGCCTAGGATTCACAAGTAAAGCTTGCTGGACACAAGCCCATGGCTTCGAAACTAGTCCTGTGATTAATTATATAAAAATACCATATTTGAGAAGATACGTTGGCAGTGATGAGGGCAGAGAGAGCACTTACATCAATTGGCCCATGTTGCAGTGTGGAGTAATGAGCATCATAACCCTTTACTAAGTTTCTGTCCTGCACTCCCTCCCCCGCCCAACCTGTTTCACCCTCATAATAACTTGCAAGGGCCTTGACAGTGAGTCATACCTGGCTGACCAGCTCTCAGATGCGTAGCTAAGCAAGGTCAGGCCTGCCTCCTACCTGGATGGGAGATTGCCAAGAAATACCAGGGCTGGAGACTGTAAAGTTGAAACAGGCTCCGGGATGAAGCCAATAACAACACATCTCTGCCATACAACCAAGAACAGAGGGTGGGTATAGTTGCCAGAAACTGATCTCCATTCAGAGACTTTCCCTTTCATTACATACTTAGGCTTTGGATGAGAAAGCGTGATTTTTCACGTTTTTTAGGCTTAAAAAAGGGACAAAATACTGTAGATGAGTGAGGTCTCTATAAGAACTTCTGTTTTGTCCTTGTAACCTCTCAATTCTCCCCCTAACCCAAGAGGATAAAAATGGGTCCTATCCTCCCATGATGTCTGTCCGCGATCACTGCCATGTCTGCAGGCAGCCCTCCAGAAGCTAAAAAAGGAAAATTAAAAACCCAAAGTGCCTCCTCCAGCTGTAAAAAGATTGTCCACTTAGTTGATTTCCTAAATCTGAGGTAAAAGTAGATTTCCTGTATGTTGCTTCTGAGTGCTTTTCCACTGACACTATCCTGCCCTTTTTGCCCTTCAGAAGAGGTGGAGATTGGTTGGTTGGCTGGCTGGCTGGTTGGTTGGTTGCCACCCACTTGGCAAGTGACTCTAGGTGGTCTTCATTGTTCTGTCTCTGTTTTTTGCCCCATTGGGCAGGTTTGAGCAGGTCTTGGGACAGGAGCTGCTGACAAACTGCACCCTTCTGCTGTGCCATGGGGCAGTTTCCCCCTTGGACCTGGTCTCCATCACCACCGCATCAGGCACCCGTGTCTTCTCCTTCCTGAGTGTTGCTTGGGGCTTCATTTCAGATGTGGACATTGAAAGTGAGAAGTACCGGCACATGGGCCCGGCCCGGTTCACTGTGGGAACAGTGGTTCGCCTGGTTTCCCTCAACACTTACCGGGGGCGGCTCTCCTACTTGCCCGCTCCTGATTGTGCAGCTCATCGGCCTATTTTGCGCAGCATCACCGTAGCAGCTAATGGGAGCCTTCCCTTCCAACATCTGCCCCTCCACCGCACTGTCTCTGATATGGGCCTTTGCGAGGAACGCCAGGCCTTCTGCTTTCATGAGATGGAGTCAGCTGAAGAGCCCACCCCTTCACCCAGCTCCCCATCTTCTTCTTCCAGCTTCCATGCATCCAGCTTCAGTTTTGAAACCCTGTCAGAAGTGGTGGTAGACAAGAGGCCCCAGCACACAGATCTGCCCAAAGTTCTGCCAAACAGGTTGCCTTCTGCCCAGCAAATGCATGGCCCTCTGGATGATTTCCTGGCCCCACTTGAACAACCAGTGCCCAAGTCCTGGGTGACTGTGGAGGACGATTTTGTGCTGGTGCTGGCCATTTACCAGACTCACTTAGGGGCAGACCTCTTCACCATGCCCACTGCTTGCTTTAATGATGGCCTCATCCATCTTTGCTTTGTCAAGGCAGGCATCTCCCGGGCAGCCTTGATTCGCCTCTTCTTAGCCATGGAGAAAGGCACTCATTTTGAGCAGGAGAGTCCTTATTGCGTGCACCTCCCTGTCCGAGCTTTCCGCATAGAGCCTCTCACTCAGAAGGGAATCATCACCATTGATGGGGAACGGGTGGAATATGGACCCATCCAAGGACAGATTCACCACGGAATTGCCAACTTAGTTACTGGGATCAACCAGTCTAAGTTGACTACACTCTGACAGGGTTTGTGTTAATTCTCTTGCAAAGACTAACAGTTCTAATTTAACTTGTGTTTCCTTCTCTCTGTTCTCCAGCCACTAGAGGGCAAGCTGCTTAAAATGACTCATTACCCTTCTAGCGTTTGAGGGCACACATCATATATCCTATTAATGGTTTTCCATCAATCAGAAGCCACCTGGCTACCAGTCTTTGGGTGTGAGTGAGGTGGAACACAAATGTAGTGCTCTTATATGCATTTTTCATACCTGGATTATTTACCTGGGGCTCCCATCATTCTACCCAGCACTTCTTTCTGTCATACTTGTCCAGCCATAAGTTAGCTCTTCCTCTAGGGCTTACAGGCACCTTGGCAATAGCCTTTCTCACTATTGGGGGTTGGAGACAGCAGCAAAGTGAGCAGCCATCTATCCATCCTATATTTTTGCCAGACCCTTACAAATCCTGGTTTATTTGAAGCTGTAGGGACAGGATGGTGGTGTAGCTCAAGAAGTCAAGGAAAAATTGAACACTAATATTCCAACTGTCCTTCAACCCTGGAAACTGAAATTAGTCTGTTTTTTCAATACTGCTTTAAAACTAGACTTTGCATTTAAGCAAAACTGTATGTTCCATTGGTGAAATGGGATTCCTCTGTCCTCTTTCTCCAAGAGGCCAGTCTCCCATTCCACGTTCTCACCCATTTTTTGCTCACATTTCATAAGAGCTAAAGGATGGGGACTGAGCAAGACAGACTCATGTACAGGCCCCTACGGTTCCACTCTTGATATGTTACCTATCCTTATAAACTGGAATTGGGAAACTTATGTCCCTTCAAATATTGCTGGACTACAAAACCCATCCCTGATTGCTGGTCATGTGGGCTGGGGCAAATGAGAGTTGAACAATATTTGAAGACCACACGTTTCCCCTGGCTCCTCAGTTGAAATACAGGGTGAATGCCTCTGAAACTGGACATTGAATGTACCAGGTAACTTGCTAAGTGTGTTGGAGTGTTTTGTCTCTGTTTTGTTAAGATACATAATTAAGGCCGATTGCTATATCTTCCCTCCTGGCTTACAGGGAGTTGCGTTTGGGTTGTTCTGCCATTCTTCCTCTCCATGGATGACCAAGGCCATATAAGGGAAGGAAGGGGACCATGTTTTCTGCAACCTACAGCCATTCATTTCTAACCAGCTTATGGTATGCTAGAGGGAGCTGGGAGTATCATCTCCCCTTCGTATCATGACTTTGAATGTGTAGGAATACACTGGATGAATGTAACTGGATTTTTCTTGTGGGAAGAATTGTGCTACGGTGATTATTTTTTTCCCCTCCCCACCATGTGGGGGCTAATAAGCAATTAAATGATCAAAAACTGTAATAGATATGTGTCTGTATATGAAACAAAGCTTATAATACATGTTCTCCCTCCCTCCCTCTCTCTCTCTCTCTCTGTCATAACTAATTTCAAACCAGGAGACCAAGTTGGTTAACATCTCCCTTGTCACACTTTTCCCAAGTTCATAAAGTGATAATCCATACAGCAAGTAATTGCTTAGACTGGATCTCAACTTGCTGCAAGTTCTAGGCCAACTTTAGCAGAACTTGCCTGATCGCAAAAGACTGAACAGGAGTGCCTGATTAATACTTCAGTGAGAGATCCCTTTGGAATGCCACAGCTGTAGGCTAGACCAGAAAGTTGGAAAAACTTCCTGAACCTGGGAGCAAGCAGCGGCGAGCCACTTCTGTAACACTGCCAAGAAAACCACGTGGACATAAACGCCGGGAGTCAACCTTGACTTTACTCTGGCTTTTCACTGACTTGAGTGTTTCATTAACATTGAAAAAGGTGGATGTGAAGGTGTGGGACTTCCTCCTTCATGTGGATGTTTTAGGACGTGTCGTGCAAATTTGGACATGTCCTATTGCTCTATCCTTTCTCGACTCTCTAATCAAACTCAAGCTGGAAGCAAGCATGTGAGTCAAGAAGCATCCATAAGGGTAGCTATTCCTCGTGGTCTGTCTTCTGGGAGAGTTACAAGAAGAGGATTGAACTGGCAGAAAAGATGACAGAGTAAAAAGAGGGGACAGTTACGAAAGCACAGAATCAGGCCCATAAAAGCAAGGTGGCAAGGCAGAAGCTGATAACTTGGGATGTATTTTGTTAACTAGATCATAGAAGCCTAGACATTTAGGCCCTTCAGTCCAATCCCTGCATAGTGCAAAAAATCCAAATTAAAGGCTGCCCAGCCTCCAGCCGAACGTATGCAGCAAAGGATACGTATCACCTTCCTCAATCATGGGCTCCATTACTGAATAGCTCTGATTGTTAAGAATCCTTTTTCTCGTGCTCAGCTGAAATCTGCCTCCTTGTAACTTAAATCTATTATCCCATGTCCTGCACACTGGACTGAGAGCGAGCTGGTCTTGACTTTCGACTGGGTGATAGTCTCAGGCATTTGAAGAGAGTTACCAGATTCCTGTTCCATCTTGTCTTCTGAAGACACAGTACTGTATTCCCGGTTCCATCTTTATTCTTAGGAGTTAATTTCTAGTTCCCCGTAATCATGGTGTGACTTCGTACTTAGCTCAGTTGCAAGTATTTTAGTCCTGCTGGAGCTATAGTAAGGCTGAGCAGAAAGTAGATTTGGATCCATTGATCAAATGTAGATCGGGGAGGGGGTCCTGAATGTTGGCAGCCATAACAAAATAGTAACCTCCCTTCCTAAATGTTAGGAAGTGCTTGCTGGAAGTGAAGCAAACTTAGCATATCAGGGAGTTTTTGTATGGAGAGTGATCCATTTACCCCATTTCTGAATGCCATAACAAATTCCTGCTTTCCAAATTACATCCTAATTGATTGTTTGATTTTCTGCCATCCAGTCTGCTTGGTGGAGGGAGAAAGAAAGGATTAATGCAAGTCTGAATCCCTCTCTCTTCTGGGCTAGAGGGGCCCTCAAAGTGTATCCGGCCTAGGATGGCAAAAAACATGGCATTGAGAACATGATGGCAGAAGTCACTGCTGGTGGACTGCAGGTGACAGGGTGGAGCACGCACTTCCCATGGCTGAAATCCCTCTTCCCCCTTTCTTAAAAACTATAATTTTTAATATAGTATATATTAAATATACTCATGAGCAGCATATTGTTAAGAATGACTGCCACTCTGTGCTGCTTGTTGGTCTTTAACAACTGAAGTGATATTTACAAATAATATTATACAGTCTAACTTCTGTTGCTTAGCTTGAACATGGCTATGAAAACTAAGGGGTGAATAGTTACCATCAGAACTCCTTTGGGGATAATGGGGTGGTGGCCCCTTCATCCCCATCCTTTCTTGTTGAAGAGAGAAGTCTGAAATGGGTGTGCAAGTGCTAGCTAGCTGAACTGAGTTATACTTCTCCATGAGACTGGAAGTCCTGATTCCTGGGGCTCTTGACCTCCAAGAGGGTTGTAACTGTTCTCCTGAACATGGTTGCACCATCACTAGAAATGTTCCCCCTCAACATGGAGAGGTTGGGAATGAATCTGGAGTATGCATCCTGCTGCTCTTAGCTACCCCTTGAAGATAGCTCATCCCATTTGAATGTCCAATTAATATCTGCTCAACATTGCAGTCCTGATTCAGGGCACTGGAAAATAGCAGGAACTAGTGTCCTCCCCCCCGCCCCTTTCTCAGCAGAGAAAGGGAGCGGCATCTGGTAGCATCAACGTCAGATTTTTCTGTTTTTTTGTTCTTTGGAGAAAAGGAAACGTTTGGGGCAAGATGTCTTGATTGGGTACCCCTCTTCTTAATGTCCATCCGTTGTCCTGAAGGATAGGGCACTTCCTGGGCTTGTCTTGCTTGTCCACGTGGCAAAGGATTGTCACCAATAGTCAGGCAACAGGGCCAGGAAGCTTTGGGGGTCAGTGATAGGCCTCTCTGTGTTTATGGGCCTTGATAGGTACCTAACCAATCCAACTCTGCTTTATCAAATACTGCTGCATTAACATGTCAAACATGAGTCATTCTGCTCCAGTTTCTTCTTCTTCAGGAAGATTTTTTGGCACTGGTGGCATGGAAGATCATTAAGGGATCTCTTTTTTTCTGGATCCATCTCATGTGCAAGGAGCAATATTAAGTATTGTCCTCATTCTCTTAGAGACATTTAACTATCTTGAGAAGAATACTAGACGTGCTCTCTCAAAGCAGTAATATTAACAGCTCGTTATTTATATGTGCACATAGGAGCAACTCTTGGGCTCCTTTGAGTTTTGAAGTCAGTAGAATTGCTGTTTTCATCTTTTCCCCCTTTTTCCTCATCATATGAATATATCCATGCTTGAGTGCTGGTCCTTGCCCTGACCTACTGGAGAATTTTGTAGAAGTCTGGAAGGTGGGAAAATGCCTTTCTCTGCTGCTAGCCTTATAACCCCCTCCCACCTTGGTCTCGGGGCAAGGTAAGACAGCTCAGCTCAAAATAAAGAGGACAACAGGCAAGGCTGTGTGGCTTTATCTGGGATTTGCTGTAGATTTTAGCTTCTCAAGAAAGCCATTTTTAAACAACGGTTTTACAGTGAAGCCTTATCCTCCCTCCCTCCCTCCCCTTTTTTTTCCTTTTATGTGCCCTTTCTCTTCCCTACTTTCCTTCATTTGTTTCCCTGCCAAGCTTGTTTCCCAGAGACTGATCCCTTGTAGATAACTTGAAATTAATACAAAGGCAACATGGAGCTTATTCTTGTTCCTGTCCCTTGCCAATTTCAGAAGTTTTATGAAATGGCAAAAAATGTGAATCATATTTAAAAAAAATACTCTGCAGTGCTTGCAATTGTAAATGGGGTAGGGCAATGTCTGAAGGTTTATTTTTAATTTTTAATGTATTATTCAATTTCAATCCCACCTTCATTTTATACAACTCAAGGTTTATCTAACTGCACACTTAAACCAGTTTATCAGTAGCTGAGCTGTCAGGACCCCTGATCAGAAGACTCAGATAACTAATTCTGTAGGAGCTTCCAGAATCCTCATCAAGTCTGCCAATGAATGGTTTGTTGTCATCCTGGTTGTTTGAGGGAAACTTTAATTCATTAAGAAAAAAGTAGTTACAACTAGGTTTTGAGTGATCAGTTTCTCAACGACACAGAATTTTTTAGCAGCCATGATGGAACAGTTTTGTAAAAAGAATGAAATTGGCTCATCATCAAAGAACCAGGGTGATACAAGATTAGATAGTGTGGGATTTCTATTGGAGAGAATAAGGTTTAAATTCCAATTCACTGTTTGACTTGGTGAACTCTGCCATTCTCTTTCAGCCTCACCTATTTTATAAGATTGCTTTGAGATTTTTTTTTTTTTAAAAAAGGGAGGACCATCATATAGGCCTGAAAGCTGGCTGGGTGACTTTGGGCCAGTCATTCTCAGCCCACTTTACAGGGTTGTTGTGGGAAAAGTAGGAGACAGGAATATTAGGTATGTTTGCTGCCTTGACTAAATGT